AACTTTTGAGTTATTGCCCTTTGTTATTTTTCAAAATTAATTTTTGTCCAGAGCATAACTCAAAAAGCCTATGAGATATCAACAATGAAACTTCATAGGTCCATAGATCTCACTCAGGAGGTGTTGCAGTGCACAAGAATGATAACTCTACCTTTCATAATTTTTTAGGTATTGCCCTTCGTTATTTTTTCATACTTAATTTTTCACCTGAGTGGAGCATAACTCAAAAGTGTATGAGATGTCAACATGAAATGTCATAGGTGGATAGATCTTATTGAGTGGATAGATCTTATTGAGGAGGAATGCTGTGCGCAAAGAATGACAACTCTTCCCTATATAATTTTTGAGTTATTGTCCTTTGTTCTTTTCATACTATTTTGTTGGGAGCTTATCTCAAAAGTATTTGAGGTATCAAACTTGAAACCTCAATAGGTGGATAGATTTTACTGAGGAGGGTGCAGCAAACAAGAATGATAAACTACCCCTGCATTATTTTTCAGTTAATGTCCTTTGTTATTTTCAGCCATCAGTATTCACATAGGTTTCAAATCTGTTATCACTTCAGCCATCAAAGACCTCTTAAAATTGAATTATTCTGCTCTACTACATATACATTCTTCCAATGAGCAAACACATTTGGCGGGGGTGGCCATGTTGACATGGCTCTTGTTAATTCCTATATTTGGCACCCTTCCCCTGCAAAAAGTATTGTTTTTCTCTTATTTGCACGCAAATTCCTGCTCAATCAGAACATATATACAAGATTGTCAAAAAAATAGTTCATTCAACTGTTTATGTCTGTGCTGAATGTCACTGTGAAATTTAACTTACCCGGTATATTCAATAAAGCTACTAGACAGAAACTTTTGTATATATGAACAGCAAAAACTTGCCTATAAGAGAAAACAACGTGAACTTTCCCTGCATACAGATACAGGTACTGTTCCCTCAAATAACAGAGTGTGGCCTGATAAATATACATATGAGCGGCGCCATGACAAAACCAACATAATGGGTTTGCGACCAGCATGGATCCAAACCAGCCTGCGCAACCGCTCAGTCTGATCAGGATCCATGCTGTTCGCTTACAAACCCTTTAACAAGTAGAGAAACTGATAGCGAACAGCACGGATCCTGATCAGACTGCACAGATGCGCAGGCTGGTCTGGATCCATGCTGGTCGCAAAACCACTTTGTTGATTTTGTCGTGACACAGCTGATGTATACATACCCTCATGATCCTGTCAAGAAGTACTTCCCCCTGTGACATGACCACCTCTTGTACCACAACCACATCTTTCTGTGAGATCAATTCTGTCTGTAAACAGTAAACATTACACTAGTCATACATGGACTACAGACATGATCCTAGAAATAATGACTACAACAAAAACAAATCAGCAAAATTATCTCAAGTTAAACAGATTAAGAAAAATGATCGTAATACAGATATGTACTTAAATATCTCAACATGGTAAGGAGAAAGTTAGGTTGAAAACTTCCAAACAAAAGAGGAAAAGATAAAAGTGATTATAAAAACTTACCAGGAATAAACAGGAAGCTTTTACTGTATGATTTTCAGGTAATGACATGCCCACCATACCTGAAGATGATAATAGTAAACATAAAAGCTCTAATCAATCATGAATCCCAGTCATGAAATATCAATGAAAAGTTATGTAATAGTTACAGAAAAGTTATACAGTTAAAGAAAAGTTAAGAGAATTTATGGCGAGTTAAAGAATGAGATGTGACAGAACAGTTATACAAAAGTTACACAGAGAATAAAGAACAGTTGTAGAGTGACAAGTATGATATAGAACAGTTATAGAGAATTCAGAGCAGTTGGAGAGTTACCGATATGATATAGTTATACAAAAGTTACAGAGAGAATGGAGAATAGTTAAAAAGTAACATATATGTTATAGAATGCATGTAGTTATACAAAAGTTACAGAGAGAATGCAGAATAGTTAAAAAGTTACATATATGTTATAGAATACATGTAGTTATACAAAAGTAACAGAGAGAACACAGAATAAGTTTTTTACAGATATGTTATAAAAAGTTATAGATAAATAACAAAGAGGTTACAAAACAGAAATGTTTGTAAGAGGATGCAGAAAAGTTACAAAACGATTTTATAGAGACTTCACTCAACGATTACAGGAAAGTGAAAGGAAAGCTATAACTATGAATAGTAGAAAAAATGATAAAAGTGATGACATAAGTGCTGACATATTTCATAGTATTTAATTTATCTAGAAATAGTCCTCTCTAAAAATACCTACAGATTATTGTACAAATATGCACACTTTCACAAATTTTATTACAATCACTCAAATATGATACAAATTTATATACACCAGTTGTGCCAAAAACTTGGTGAGGACCCTCTCTCTTAACCCTTAGCTGGTGGCAAAAAATTCTACCCATACAAACAATAAAGACCAACCAGCATATCTTCATGGTTTGTCTGTACAACTCAACATTCAGTCAGTACATATTTTGGAATTTTCCCTAAAGAAATGAATGGTTTTAACTATTTTTTAAAAGATGGACAAGTCCATTCAAGATATTCAGGGGGAAAAGGGTTAATAATTACCTGCTTGAAATAGGCCATTTATGTTGTTTCCAGGCTCAAATAGAACATGTTTAGTCTTCTTTAATACCTGAAATATTAACAACACATTTATATGTCAATATATGCCATTAATCCTTCAGTCTTATCTATTATTTCATTCAATTTAGTTTAATGGAACTCTCTGAGGTCAAAAACCGTAAACACCAAAAACTCAAAATCCATATATAGATCAACTAGAGCACTTTTAACTTAAAAATATGCAAAAGATAAGAAACAATTAAATTGAAATCTAGTTTTACTATGATTCTGTAGTAAAAGTGTTAAAACACTTTTCAGTTTTTGGTCATTTAGCAACATATAAAAACGATTATTATAGAAAAACAGAGTGAGCCAATGATCCCATATTGCAAACAAGTTAATGATTTAGACCTATATCAAATGGTACACAAATCTTGAAAAAAATATTTCCAATCCTTTTATGTAAAAAAATACCTCAGTGGAGTCCTTTTTAAAATGATCCTGGCTAATCGCTGATCATTTACAATTCTTTGTAATCACTTTTTCCTAACCAAATGTTTGAAATTGAAATGGTAAAGAATAATTCAAGAGAACTCTTGAAGATGGATAAATAATAAAACTATAAATTTCCATACATCGTGGCTCTTTTAAGCAGATATATCAGTATTAAGGGAGAAATAATAAGGATTTAGATAACCTAACACTTCAATACCCTAACTGTACTCACCTGTGACAAAAGCTGCATGAATGATTCAACAATATCAGTATGCTGATGTATATCTGAAAAATCAAATATAATTATTGTCACTTGTGAGAAACAGACATGCACCAAACTATTAAAGAGCATAAATTGTGCTCCTGTTATGCATCTATATAATTATATATATTAACATATAATGTTTAACCATTGGAACAGTTATGAGCTTGCAGACAAATTCTATGAATACAGCTCACTAACACAGTTCTTTTAGCACATCATATGCAATCATACTGTTGCAAACTACCTAAAACGTCCATAACTTACTGTATGTGTAGAAATATTCGCGGGCTTCAAATTTTCGCGATCTTCGCGGTGACATTCGATCCGCGAATTCATGTTCAGCGCGAATATTTCTACACCAATAATTTCTTAATAGTCATATTTTCGCGCATCTATAGAACAATGTTTATAAGTGTGTTCACGGCTGGGCTGCCATAAATCTGGTATCAGTGGCACTTTCAAAGAGTGATTTTACGTCGTATAAACTGTACATGTAACATTCAGCTCTGTATATAAATCAGTTTGCTAGTGTATTATTGTTTGACTGATATGATTATCGGAATCTTGTATAAGTATATACATGTTTGAACAATACCATTGTAGTTTATCTCATAGTCTGAGTCATAACCGTCTTGACATTTGACCAGATTTTATTTTCTTTTTCTAAACAAACAATTAAAACAACACGAACCTTAACGATTTTAACTGATGAAAACATGGTAAACAAAACACAATTACTCAGTCAACATTTTAACAATATCGGTGAAAAGATTATGGTCTCATTCAGTGCTGTTTAAAACTGTGAACAATCATGCACGTTAACGGACATTCTTTTGTTTGCCATAATTTATCCTCTAGACAAATTGAATGGTTTTGTTATGTGTTTGACACCAGGTGTTGAAAATAACTGTGAAGTCCAACAATGGTTACATTAAAAAGTATTTTAAATGAAGAAGGCTGCTTGCGAAAACCATTGTCTAATCAAGACAAATTTCCCGTATTTTTTTAACCTGATGGGTGTACGCGAATTTATGATTTTCGGCAGTCACCTCCGCGAATTCAAAATAGCGCGAATATTTGTATATACCCCCAAAATGGACCTTTCCGCGAAAATTTGCTTCCGCGAATTTAAATACACATACAGTACCTCCCTGGAACAAATCCAAGCTTTTATTACACACAGACTGTAATAATACTTCAACAACTTACCTCCCTGGAACAAATCCAAGCTTTTATTACACACAGACTGTAATAAAACTGTCACCACTTACCTCCCTGGAACAAATCCATGCTTTTTACACACAGACTGTAATAATACTTCAACAACTTACCTCCCTGGAACAAATCCAAGCTTTATAACACACAGACTGTAATAAAACTGTCACCACTTACCTCCCTGGAACAAATCCAAGCTTTTATTACATAATACTTTCACAACTTACCTCCCTGGAACAAATCAAAGCTTTTATTACACACAGACTGTAATAATACTTAAACAACTTACCTCCCTGGAACAAATCCAAGCATTTATTACACACAGACAGTAATAACTTACCTCCCTGGAATAAATCCAAGCTTTTATTACACACAGACTGTAATAAAACTTTCACAACTTACCTCCCTGGAACAAATCCAAGCTTTTATTACACACAGACTGTAATAAAACTTTCACAACTTACCTCCCAAACTCCTCACACTGATTACCTCCCTTGGCAGAATTGTAATCACTGCCTTCACAGACGTCACATGATGATGAAAGTCACATGACGTAACGTCGAAATTCAAATGTAAATATCGACCGTTACATAGAAAATCTAACGTCATTTTTCTCTTTCTGTTTTATTTTTAACTTTTTGTACCTACGTCCGTTATATTTTAACAAAAAATTATCAAAAGTACACAAAATAATGAAAAATAAATTAAAAAGCTAAAAAATATAAATATCCAAATTTGGATATTTCAATGTTTGTGATGGCAGAGATCTCTGTACTGATAAGGGGAGATCACTGCGTAGGAGATTGCTTACCTCCCTGGAACAAATCCAAGCTTTTATTACACACAGACTGTAATAATACTTTCACAACACTGGAGAATTCAGCATCACTATGGAACATCAAAATCAGCTGAAATAAAGAAAAACAGTTAGAATTTATACTCAAAAGTGTTCTTTTCCAAATCATCAAAGAGAAGTTTGTTTCTCAACCAGGACATAAATTTACAAATCTAATGTTTACACACCTGATGCCTTCTCTACTAAGCTTATAGGGAAAGATTACAGAATATTGAATGTTAACCTGTTTTGTAAGATCTAGTATAGCTATATGTGGAACTGTTTGATACATCTGGACTAGAAGTTCGGCAACATCTTTGGAAAGTGGGGCGAAGTCGTCCATCAATGTTTGTAGAGAGCGTTTGAAAAGCTCACATACTGCCTGTAAAGAAAGATGTCAAAACAATTGTAGATTCCTATATACAATATTGCATAGCACTTTTATGTCAAAACAATCTAAGGGTATTTCCTATATACAACAATATATAGCACTTTTCTCAATCTTAACTTAATTACTCTTAAGAATATGCAAATTTAATTCCATTTTGTACATATATTATATATTAACACCCCTGTTACAGGCCCAGGCCTGATCGGACAGTTTAGATGGTAATATAACCACTGGAAGCCTTATTTGTGACTTGGATACATCCCCTACTATTTTGGAGCAAATGGCATTGACTAGGCAATGTGGAAACAGATAGTAAAATTAAGGCTGATATTGTTTTGGGGAAAGCCAGATTTACAACTGACTGGAGCATTATTACCTCAACAACACCAGCATCATTGATCCAGTTGGAGACCACAGTTTGGAGGAGAGGTGCAATCCTCTGTAAAATCACAAATACCTGTAACGATAAAATCAATGTATCACAAATAACAATCCAATAACCCTTTAACCACTATCTCAAAATAATATGATTTCTTTATACTTTTGTTGTTATTCAACTAGCCTAAATGTTGAGCCAGACTCAATTTTAGGTTGTAGACATTTTAGTACAGTCATAGTTACTGTGTTATAAAAGCTTGTGTTTAAATAAGGGAGGTAATTCATTGAACAACATATCAAGGGAGATAATTTATGGAACAACATACAGGTTTAGGTCCCTGTGATTCAAACTTGGACTGCTTCTCTCCCCCTAGTTCTCTGTCGGTATCTAGGGAAGCAAATAACCAACTCAGCATGTTGATCTTCAATAGTAGGCGACTTTTCACGGACGATGAAGGCTGGAATACAAAGGAAAATGTTTTAATCCCATAAAAAGTCAACTTCTAAAACTATGCATGTAATATTCCCATTCAATAATGGTTAGTCAGAAACGTTGTACCAAATGACCTTGGACAGAACTAAACAATCTTCACCTAGATAAAATTAAGATTCTCTATAGATTACCATTAAAATGAATCTATTATGAGTTACAGATTTGATCAATGACATATTTATTCAGCATTTTAGTTGACACATAACATAATGCAGGATCTATAAAGCAATTAAACTATTGCACATTGTACTATACAAAGACAAAAACCAGAACCGGTTAAACCGGGTGATGCTCCCCGAATAGGTTTTGGACACAGGAAAGTACATATCTTGTAGTGTCAGAGTTATGTCCCTGACAAAGTTCAAAATGTAAAAATGAACAAAGGGCAATAACTCCAAAATTAGGCAAGGCAAAGTTATGGTTCTTTTGCACTGCACTTCTACCCAATGAGATCTATGTACCTACACAAAATCATGTTGATATCTCTTATAGTTTTAGAGTTATGTCCCGGACAATTTTTCAAAGTGTAAAAATGAACAAAGGACAATAACTCCAAAATTTGACAAGACAGAGTCACGTTTTTTGCACTGCACTTCTACTCAATGTGATCTATCTACCTACAAAGTTTTGTGTTGATACCTCTTGTTGTTTCAAAGTTATGTCCCCGACAAGAATAGAGGACGAAAGGATATGCTATTTAAATGGACTAAGGGGCCATTTTTTTTATTTTCTTTTGTTTAATAGAGGGCTGTGGCCCCTTATTCTATGGTTACAGAATGAACTTTATTGTTCTTTTTTGTTCTGTTTACAGTTACATGGCCCCCTACTTCTCTTAAATAGCCCGGATGGACAAAGTGGCAACTATATGCTCACTCTTCGGGGAGCATAAAAACATTTCACAGTACCTGTTGTTTTGATAATTGCTCAAGTTCTTGTATTAGTGGTGTTAGGATAGGATCAAGATGTCCCATGATATCATTGTATGGTAATACGGATAACACCTGTCCTATACATGACATAATACGTATATTTTCACGTGACTGAAATACAAAACAAACTTGTATATTTTCATGTGACTGCAAAACAAACAAAACATGTATATTTTCATGTGACCTAAAAACAAACGAAACATATATTTTCATGTTGTTGTCAACTTGGTGGATTTGGATATCTCTGTTTTTGATGCCAAAACATAACCACCTGGCAGTGAGTGAATAGATATAAGGTAACATTATTGCTCTTCCACCATGCTAATCCCTGCAATTACCCTTGGGGCTGGGGGCTCCAGGGTAACACAGACTGGTACATAGAACGAAATGTTTGAATAGTAAACAATTTTAAACTGTACATTTTGAGGAAACCTAATAATTGCAATGGCATTATAATATGTTATATGTTTTAAAATTATTATTAAATAATTACCAAATCATGTATTCACACAAATCACACAAGTTTCAAACTTTTTTTTATAAGGTGTTTATAAATAAAAATACCTTCAGATTTCCTCTTCCCAATGCAGCCTGAAACACAAATAAACAAATTTAAATTCATTCTCTGGAACTTGCATATACATGGCTTGAGTGGAGTTGTTAAGCAGGAACAGGCCTCCCAAAATGTGACCTGGCCCCATGTTTATAAATCACTTTCCTGAGCTCTGTCTCAAATCTCAGGATTTTCATTGGTAAGTTAACATTTTTTGTTGGTTTATGACCAATCAAATACTTGAAATATGAGACTGAGCTAGAAAATTTCTTTTTTACCAAGTAAAATCAAAGAGATACAAATTCATGTCCTGCATCATATAATATATAAACAGGTTTGTATAAAATGTTATACCTCTAAATTCATTGCAATTTCAAGCAACAATTTAAAAGTTTTTCAACCAAGATTACAGTAAGTAATTACCCAACATGAATTTTATAGATATAATTACTATCCTGCTGGGCAACAATTTCTCCAAACAAAGACTAGAACTGTGTCCAAAGGACACGGATGCCCCCACAGACAACATATATGGTATATAGTGAAAAAATCAACAAAGGGCCATAATTTTATTAAATTTGGACGCAGCGAAAATTCCTTCCTTTACTACCATCTACACATTAAGGTTGTTCATCCCTGGAAGTTTAAGCAAAATCTGCCATTCGGTTTAAGAGGAGTTGCATTCACAAAATTTCTATATGGTTTATAGTGAAAAAACTAGAAATGTGTCCATAGGACACGGATGCCCCCACACGCCACTGTTCTGTCAATCTTATGACTCTAGGTCAAATATTTTTTGGACTACATGTGCCACAAGTTGAAAACTAAAAATCAACAAAGGGCCATACTTCTGTTAAATTTGGTCGCAGCAAAAATTCCTTCCTTTACTACCATCTACACATTAAGGTTGTTAATCCCTGGAAGTTTAAGCAAAATCTGCCATCCGGTTTAAGAGGAGTTGCGTTCACAAAATTTCTACATAGTATATAATGAAAAAATCAACAAAGGGCCATAATTCTGTTAAATTTTGTTGCAGCAAAAATTCCTTCCTTTACTGCCATCTACACATTAAGGTTGTTCATCCCTGGAAGTTTAAGCAAAATCTGCCATCCGGTTTAAGAGGAGTTGCGTTCACAAAATTTCTACATAGTATATAGTGAAAAAATCAACAAAGGGCCATAATTCTGTTAAATTTGGTCGCAGCAAAAATTCCTTCCTTTACTACCATCTACACATTAAGGTTGTTCATCCCTGTAAGTTTAAGCAAAATCTGCCATCCGGTTTAAGAGAAGTTGCGTTCACAAAATTTCTACATAGTATATAGTGAAAAAATCAACAAAGGGCCATAATTCTGTTAAATTTGGTCGCAGCAAAAATTCCTTCCTTTACTGCCATCTACACATTAAGGTTGTTCATCCCTGGAAGTTTAAGCAAAATCTGCCATCAGGTTTAAGAGGAGTTGCATTCACAAAATTTCTACATAGTGTAAAGTGAAAAAATCAACAAAGGGCCATAATTCTGTTAAATTTATTCGCAGCGAAAATTCCTTCCTTTACTACCATCTACACATTAAGGTTGTTAATCCCTGGAAGTTTAAGCAAAATCTGCCATCCGGTTTAAGAGGAGTTGCGTTCACAAGATTTCGGGACGTATGGACAGTTGTACGGACGGACAAGTGCAACACTATATGCCATCCACTTTGTGGGGGCATAAAAAAAGATCGTTTTTGTCACTAAACAAAGACACAAGGTGACCTGACAGCAGAGTTAATTCCTCTCCTACATATGGGTGCTCTCTCCGCTGCTCTTGATTTTCTCGCATTACTTCTTTTCTGACTGGAGCTTAAAAATGACATGAACCAAGTTTTTCAAATAAATATAAACCGCAGACTGTAACAGTAAAACACGTACCTGGCAGGCCTGGAGTATCTGTGGCACATATGGCTGAATGTGTTCTAAAGTCTCCCTAGTAACATCTTTAAGGGCCATGGTTGCTGCCATGGCAACCTCAGGATTACTGAGGCCCTGGAGTAATAATGGTATTGCACATGGTAACGATTGTGGGTGGCAATTCATCCATTCACCAAATGACCCTGAAGAAGTGTCAGTGTAATTTTTTTACATTAAAGATCCTGAATGAGATAAATGACCCTATCAAGTTGATAAATGGTAAGTTTGTGGAACAGATTCAGGAGTTTGTGTATAAGCTCATAGCATAATACATAATCAAAGTAACATAGATTCTGTATGAACTACATTTGTTAAACAGACCAGATGGAAACCTAAAAGAACACGCAAGACAGCAAAACTGAAAATGTCTTAGCTTTGGTTTTAAATGAAAACTGTTCTTAGAAAAAAGAATAATCCACAGATGTAAAGTACCATAGTTAAAAATATCTCCCAAAAAATAAGAAGTAAGTGTCATTAAAAAGCAGCAATGGATTTAATTGTATAACCTACCCAACATGTATAAAACAGTAGAGATGAATTTCACATTGGTAAATGGTAGTTTAGGCAAGAGTTCTAGTACAGATGGTAGATATATTCCTTCCTCCAAGTCAACACTCTCTGCCACCGAGTTAAACAGGAAAAATATTGCCTCCATCAACTGAAATGATAATTTCTGTGCAATATAATTTTGGATAGAGCGATTAGATTAACATCAACCTCCATGTCAAATTATCACAAAAATAAATATATGTAAGATTCAGGAAACCAGTATAATGCTAAATGGTATGAGATTCAGGGAACAAGTATTATGCTAAATAGTATCAATAAAATCTATTATTCTGTCATGAGTAAAAATTGTTTAAATTAGTATTTAAAATCAATCACAGTTACTTTCATTATCATCACAATTAATCACCCTCATCATCATCATCATCATCAACAAGAGAAGCAGAGACAGGATTGATGTCATCATTATTATCATCATAAGAAACAGTATCATCATCATCATAATTATCAGCACCGTCGGACATTTTAGACAAATTAATCATACATATTTTACTATCAGAATTAACAAGAGCGATCAGTAATCACATGTGTCGCCTCATGATGGCCAATTTCATGTTGGGACAAATTTTGTGACAGACAGACAGACAGACGGACAGTGCACAACTAAACTTGGTACTGATCATTCCTGTAAAGTTTGGATAAAATTGCACCAGTAGTTTATGAGGAGTAGTCCGGACAAGCTTTTGCGTATCTGGCAACACACAGAAAAAAAGACCTTTTTATCAAAGGGCCATAACTCGGCCAAAAATCATTCAACCGGAAAACCCGTGCAATATGCGCAAGAACTTGAGCTACAGATCAATCCTGTAAAGTTTCATTGAAATTGCATTCGTGGTATAAGAGAAGTGGTCCGGACAAACTTTAAAAATAAAAATTATTAAAGGGCCATAACTCTGACAAAAATCATTCAACCGGAAAATGCTGACAATATGCACAACTAGACTTGGTACTGATCATTCCTGTAAAGTTTGGATGAAATTGCACCAGTAGTTTATGAGGAGTAGTCCGGACAAGCTTTTGTGTATCTGGCAACACACAGAAAAAAACACCTTTTTGTCAAAGGGCCATAACTTGGCCAAAAATCATTCAACCGGAAAACCCGTGCAATATGCGCAAGGACTTGAGCTATAGATCAATCCTGTAAAGTTTCATTGAAATTGCATTAGTGGTATAAGAGAAGTAGTCCGGACAAACTTTAAAATTAAAAATTATTAAAGGGCCATAACTCTGACAAAAATCATTCAACCGGAAAATGCTGACAATATGCACAACTAGACTTGGTACTGATCATTCCTGTAAAGATTGGATGAAATTGCACCAGTAGTTTATGAGCAGTAGTCCGGACAAGTTTTGTGACGGACGGACGGACAGACAGACAGACGGACAGACGGACAGACAGACGACGGAGAAGTGATCCCTATATGTCGCCACTACTCCGTAGAGGCGACACAACAAAACCCTGATCATTCAAAAGTTTCTTTCTTATTATCAAGGTTTTTTTTTTCAATAGTGCAATTATAGATTGAATAATTCTGTTTTATACAGAAGAAGTTATTTCTTACCTCCCAGCGTACATTGAGTTCCTTGTCAGTTTTAACTAGACTTGCAAGAGCATTACACAGGTATCCTAGCAACGGTTCTCGTAGTATACTGTACGCATACATCTAAAAAATATGAATATCAACAGTCATTATTATGTTGAATCTTTCAAGAAAGAAATTTCTTTAACAACTAAAACACATAAAAACCTCAACCAGTTAAAACAGGTAAAAATAATGATCAACAGTAATTCCAGATACAGATCTATGTAAAACCCTTTGTTTCCTCCAAAGAAAAATGTGAATCAATTGCAAGTTTTCATGTAACTGAATATGCTCCATAAATGTAATCTGTTTTGCTGGAAAATCAAGGACTTAATAATTAATTTAGATGCATATTCTAATCAAAATTCCATACCATTGTATCGCCTATATCTTGTCTGTAACATCTAAATTGCTCTTTCTCTTCTGTAACAGACAAAAGAAGACAAAGGTCAGAGGTCAAGGGCAATGAAATAACAAAGGTCATTTGATTCAAAAGATGCCAAAATAATCATTTTCATCAAATATTGACATCAAATATTGATGTCTTAAAAAGTCACACTCCTGCAAATTAGATTTATTTACTCGATTATCATATTTAAATGAATTCAGTTTTCATTTATAAGTTCATATATACAAGTTTTCCAATATTATAGTGTCATACCTGCAGACCAGGTTTCATAAACTTCTTCTGTTGGGAACTGTACTTTGATAAGAAGGTTTTCTATTAGGCCAAGATATACTGGCTGGAACATGGGCAATAATAGTTGGTACTTGTCACTATCCAAATCTTGTAAATTGTCCTGAAATTGTTTCAAACTAGCATTAAAAGTAAATCTACCAATGATGACAGGAAAATTAAATGTATGAATAACAAGAGCTGTCAGTAGGACAGCATGCTCGACTATTCTAAGTGCTTGATAGTAAAAGAGCCTTGATAATGTTAAATTTTTTAAGTTCACAAACGAAAAGGGCTAATTTTTTTTTATAAATTCATGTTATAGGCCTTAGAGAGACTCTAATTATACAGTATTGGCTTGACTATTCGGAAGGTAATGTCACAAGGGTGTTTTATTTAGTGTAATAATACTAATTACCTATGAATACATAAATTTGACAAAAAAGGTACAAAGGCTTGTTATTAAGATGTTTTATCAAGTAAATCACTTTATTATTATGAATGCATAAAATTGTCCCGAAAAAGGCACAAACCCTTCAGTAGTTATTGAGATAACAGCTTACAAGCAAAACTTTACCATGAATTTCTAAGTTGAAAAAGGGGAGAAAAATCAGCCTAAATGCAAGATAGAATTATGGATCTTTGTCAGTGACCTACAATTATGACCCTAAATGCATATGTGAAGTTTTAAATAAATACCTTTAATAGTTATTGAGATATGTAAAACTTGCATGTAAACATTAACCAAGAGACTAAGTAGAAAAGGGGATATGAATCAGCCTTAATGCAAGATAGAGTTATGGAACTTAGTCAGTGACATACAATTATGACCCTCCAATTATGACCCTAAGTGCATGTGTAAAGTTTCAAGTAAATATCTTTGAAGACTTTTAGCCTTTAACTAAAATTTCTAAGTTTCAAAGGGGCAAATAATTCTGCAAATATTGCAGGCAGAGTTATGCAATTTTGCAAACTGATGTACATTGTTACTTTAAAAAAGTATTTTAAATTTCAATTGAATATCTCAAGCAATAATTGAGATATTTGACTTAACAAAAAACTTTAACCAAAATTTCTAAGTTAAAAAGGGGCATAATTCTGTCAATATTGTAGGCAGTTATCCAACTTGTCAATCTGATGTACCTTGTTACTATAAATAAGTATTGTAAGTTTCAATTGAATATCTCAAGCAATAATTGAGATATTTGACTTACAATAAACTTTAATCAAAATTTCTAAGTTAAAAAGGGGCATAATTCTGTCAATATTGAAGGCAGAGTTATCCAACTTGTCAATCTGATGTACGTTGTTACTATAAATAAGTATTGCAAGTTTCAATTAAATATCTCCAGCAATAATTGAGATATTTGACTTTACAAAAAACTTTAACCAAGATTTCTAAGTTCAAAAGGGGCATAATTCTGTCAATATTGTAGGCAGAGTTATCCAACTTGTCAATCTGATGTACCTTGTTACTATAAATAAGTATTGTAAGTTTCAATTGAATATCTCAAGTAATAATTGAGATATTTGACTTTACAAAAAACTTTAACCAAAATTTCTAAGTTTAAAAGGGGCATAATTCTGTCAATATTGTAGGCAGAGTTATCCAACTTGTCAATCTGATGTACCTTGTTACTATCAATAAGTATTGTAAGTTTCAATTGAATATCTCAAGTAATAATTGAGATATTTGACTTTACAAAAAACTTTAACCAACGCAGACGCCGACGCGGACGCTGACGCCGACGCCGGGGCGACTACAGTAGCTCTCATATTCTTCGAATAGTCGAGCTAACAAATATGTATCCGAATGGCTATGCAGTCTAGTAAGTTAGTATGGATTACACCACATGCAGGCCATAATTGCCAGAAAGTATATATTAGAAGGTGGGGTAATACAACTTACCTGAAGTATATACCAGAAGGTGAAGGTCATACTACTACAAGTTTCATCTACTGGGTAATGTCCTGGAATACTTGAACAACTCTGCAAATAGACATTAACATGTGAAAATGAAAACAATCAAGCAAATTTGATACAGTTATTCTACAAATATTATGGAAAAGAAAAAATAAAGACTTTATTTAGTATGCTGGGCAACATATTCAAAAAATTTTCATTAAAAAACAATTTGTACCATTTTCTTTTCTTTATAGTGCATGTAGTTCAGAGTAAGTAAGTTTTGAAAGCAGATTCATGTACACTTGTAAACACCTTACTTGCCTTTATATGTTTACATAAACAACAGAATGATATCAAATTTGTAAGCCATTTCAAAATTATGGCCCTAAAGACAAATTTCTGTATTTATCATCAGTCAAGGGGCCTTATCACACACCCGTGCTAATTTTGCGACTCCGAAAATATGGTATTGCACGGTCGTGCATATATTTTGATGTGACATCATTAGCGTTATACAAACATAGTGTAAAGACGCGCTAAATGTCAGGGTTATACTATAGGCGTGTCAATGAATAATGACACTTATTTCAGTTTAAACGGTCTTTATTTGGTTATGTAATAAAGAGAATATTAAATTCGTGTAAGTTCATAACTGAATTTATTTCACTCATTGAATAAAATAATATTATGCATGCCAGAGGCTCGCATAATATAATTTTATTCAACTCGTGCAATAAATTCAGTATTGAACTTACACTCATTCAATATCCTCTATATATCTTTTTCAAACATTTGGCAGGTCCAAATTATTTTACAATATTTACAAAAAATCCTACCAAAACTAGGCTTATAAGCTTCTGTATATCAGATTTTTTATTTTCATCATCCCCACTTGCACTGTCTATGATTAGTTTTGTATGGTTCTCTGCCAATGACACAACAATCTGTGTTATACCATGACAAGTATCCTGAAAAACAAAAAAACAGTGACACAGTCAAGTTAAAGTTAGAATGGTTCTCCATAGGAAATATAAATACTGGCTTAAGTATATGAATGAATGCTGAGGTTTTAAGACACAGAATTAGTCAATTCAACATTTTTCTCAAAGATTATTAATAAATTACAATCAAATTCATAAAAAAATTCCACATACAAACTATTATACACAATAAATGAATATATACACAAATGAATATATAACTAGAAATGGGTCACTGGACCAGTTACCACAAAATTCCTTTGTTTTGCCAGTCTACATGATGGACAGTGCGATAGCCCCAAGGGCATATAAACAGCATTTAATAATCAAAGAATTTTTTGTTTGTTTTGGGTTTTACTTCACATTTACACAGTTTAGGTCATATCGCGACGTTCCAGCTTTACTGGTGGAGGAAGTTTTCAGGTGCCCTTCCGTGCATTATTTCAGGCACAAACGGGCAGCTGAGTAGAACCACTGACGTTCCGTAAGCTAGCTGGATAGCTTCCTCACATGAAAGAATCCAAAGTCCCTGTCGGGAATCGAACCCACAGCATTGATGGGCAAGTGGTTTGAAGTCAACAACCTTAACCACTCGGCCACAGACGCCCAAATAATCCAAGAACATTGCAACAGAAATATCAACTGTAGATATAATCCTTGAACATTTTTACAGTTGATATTTCTGTTGCAAACATGTCAACTTTGAATCTATGACTTATTGAGGTATTTCTATACCAAACTGGGTGGATTTTAATCAGTATGGAAACATATTTGACAAAATAACATACACAATAAGACATTAAATTCAGTAAATAGTTTTGTTTGAAAACTAGAAATGTGTCATCATGCCACGGATGCCCCCGCATGCAGCCAAAATTTCAGATGTTATAATATTTAGTTCCAAATTTGTTTGCACAAATTATTTTTTTCATTTGCAGTTCAAAGCCCTTAAAACTTTTCAATGTTAACACAAACCATTTTCATACAATGTTCAAAGCACTGAAATTATTCAGTCTTAACCTTTTGAAAATAGCATATTTCATATTTGTTGCCAAAATAATGGCTACATACATTTCCACAAAAGTATGAGTGCTGAAACTGAATGTTCAAAATTTTTAGAAAGAAAGATAAGTTTGTCCAAAATCATTGAACTACGACCAAATTCAAACTTAAACTGCTTATTCCTAAGATGTATCTATATTATTTTCAAAGTGAAAGGGACATAACTCTGCCAAAAAATCAAAAACTTGACCTGCCCATTCCTTTGACATATCCATATGTCAAATTTGAGTTGAATATGTAACACTGTTGGGTAGATAATGAACAGAAACTGTAAATTTCATATTATTATCAAAGTGAAAGGGGCATTACTCTGCCAAAAATCATCGAACCATGACCAAATTCGAACTTGACCTGTATTTTCTCATGACATATCCATATGTCTAATTTGAGTTGAATGTGTTGTACTGTTGGGGAGATAATGAACAGAAACTGTAAATTTCATATTATTATCAAAGTGAAAGGGGCATTACTCTGCCAAAAATCATCGAACCATGACCAAATTCGAACTTGACCTGTATTTTCTCATGACATATCCATATGTCAAGTTTGAGTTGAATGTGTTGTATCGTTGGGGAGATAATGAACGGAAACTGAAAATTTCATATTATTTTAAAGTAAAAGGGGCATAACTCTGCCAAAAATCATCGAACCATAACCAAATTCGAACTTGGCCTGTATTTTCTCATGACATATCCATATGTCAAATTTGAGTTGAATGTGTGCAACCGTTACTTAGATAATGAACGGAAACGGATGATGAGGTACTGATAGAATGACGGAAGGACGGAACAGGGTAACACTATATGCCCCGGCCATTACATGGCGGGGGCATAAAAATTAATCAGTCTTCTATTCCTTTTTATAAACCAGTGAACTTCTTCACTAAACCTTCAAGTTAGATGGCTTTCGTGAAGTTTTGAACATGAAACTTGGGAAGGGGTGGGGAATTTAAGTAATAAACATATCAATTTTAGTTAAGAATAGTGGCTCAAACTGAAATCTAACACTGTATAACTGGCTTGTGTATTTCATATTTCATTGGTTAAATAAAGGGGTATAATAGTAGAAGAGAGTAGTTCAGCAATATAGAATCTACTACATGCAATGCATTAAAAGTAGTCTTGCTAAAAATAGTGCATATCCAACTTTTATCATGATGCATAAACAATTTTAAACATCATCATGTCAGCCACAATACATCATGTTTATGTGCAGTATCATTTTTTATATGATAACAACAAGCCAACAAACATATCAACATACCATATTATGGTCATTTGTGGCTGAATTGAGCATTCCTTGTAACTGTAAGACCAAGGGAAGCAACTTCTGTATGGTATATGGAAATCTGTAACACAGTTAAAAAAGAACTTGTAATTTTTGTGCAATAATGCTCACTGTTATAAGTACAAGATTACTAAACACGTATATACTATTTTGTTCCTTCTATTACATACTCAACAAAGTCACTAAAAATCATTTTATTAATGATAAAGTAAAAATGGTCAAATACAAAATTACCTTCTACTATAATTCTTGTTTTCAGTTTATGTTGTTATTCCCACATATACTAAATTATGAAGAATTTCAATAGACAAACAAGTTTTTTTTGTCCAAGTTACAAAACAGAGACAGTGCCCTCAACTATTCTCAGTGCTTGATAGTACTAGAGCCTCGATAATAATCAAACTCCTCACAGTGATAACCTCCCTTGGCAGAATTGTAATCACTGCCTTCAAAGACGTCACATGATGATGAAAGTCACATGACGTAACGTCGAAATTCAAATGTAAATATCGACCGTTACAAAGAAAATCTAGCGTTATTTTTCTCTTTCTGTTTTATTTTTAACTTTTGGTGCCTACGTTCGATATAGTTTATCAAAAAAATTATCAAAAGTATACAAAATAATGAAAAATAAATTCAAAAACTAAAAAATATAAAATATCGTCTCGGTAGAAAATAATCTCATAATTTTTAAAATTATTTCTAAATATTCATATTATTTATTTATTTATTCATAAACATTGTTAAATAAATGAGAGAAAACTTATCTGATAGATAAAAGCAGTAGATAAAACAATTTTTGAAAAAATATAGTATATCAGAAATTCTGATATATCGGACCTTGGTGGCAGAGATCTACGCCGAAGAATTAAGGGGAGATCACTGTGTGGAGATTGGATAATAATATGCAAAAATCAACAAATAGGATGATTTCAATCAAAATACTCTAAATGGTTATGTGTCTTAGAATAGCCAAGCTAACAAGGTTTAACAGGGGCGGCAAAATCAATTACCCATTTTGTTCATGTTGTCCTGCAGCCTGTACGGACAAGTGGAAATTTTCAAGAATTTACTATACAAATATCATACGGACAAGTTAAGAAAGGCTTCAGATAATAACGGACAAGTAAGTCAAAATCAAATTTTGCCGGCCTAGAGTTTGACTATGCACTTGCAGACAGTTGTAAAATTTGTAAAGTATAAATAAAACAATTGAAAAAACGGTACCTGTGAGAATCTGGATGTGAGAAGACTTTAACGAGAGTGTCTACAGCAGAATCATACAGATGTGGACTGTTGAGGCTTTGGAAAACCTGTATAATTATCTGTTCAGCCTCGTTCATTGGAATACCAAAATCCACCCAGCTCCCGAAACATTTGAGGGCATGCTCGTACACATCACTTGGTGAGTTTGGGCTCATCAAATTAGTCAGTAAGGCTAAAACTAGAAATAAACTTGTCTACCTATAAGCAGTGTACATAAATTACCAAAAAGAGGTTAAAATATGCAAAAATAGCCCTTAATGTATTAGTCACGTAGGAATATTGTGATAAATACTGCAAAATCACTCATTTATCACACATAAAATGTTAATATACTTAAATCTTGAATATTTTCACTTTTCTTGAAAGTTCTCAAGTTTAATCTTCTTGAAACATGTTGGCTTATCTGGAGGCATGCAGCTTTACATACATTGACCATATCATTTTTATAAAAGTCTCTTGGACTACAACTTTTGAATTTAGACTTGTGTAGTATATTTTTTTGTGATAATAAATAAAAACCTACTTACTTTTGGTCATATTTTGTGTAAGTTCAAAGCGCAGTTCTGATCTTCTGCTATTGGTCAGGTTCATACTATAAAACTATAAAATAAAACAACTTTAGTAAAATCATCATACAACCAATACTATTTACAGACTAGGACAGTAACTTTATAATTTATAATCTAAATTTGCCAAATCAACAATGTTACAGTTGAATCAAAATATCCCAGCATGCTTTGCTTAATAAAGACATTAAAACCTGTATACTGTCAGGTTTAAAGGGAATGAATGTAGATTTAACAGTAAGCCCAAAATACATGTACATGTATTTAAGTAGGCAAAACAAGATAAAAAAATTCCTGCAGATAAATATCAAAACATACCTCTTCTGGAAGGACAGTGAAGATTTCTAGCAAAACATTACATCTCTGTGTGGACTGAAATATATTATTGTAAACACTTCAGTTTAGGTCTTATAACTTCATTTAACCCTGAACATGCTGAATATTAAATGGACTTTTCCCACTTCCATGTTCGGAACTGCCCATTATCAATTATAGGGATATCAATGTGAATATTTAAAGTTTATTAGCCAACAGTATAGAGCCTGGTCAGACTGCATGGACGTGCAGACCGGCCTGACTCTATACTGGTGGCAAAGGCTTAACGCTTTCGGTTCCAGCACTTAAGGGTTAGAATAGTAAGCTGAACAAATATTTGTTATGAATAAATAATATTGAAAACATTTTAAATATTAGCTCATTTGCAAATATACATGGCAACAATACCTATGTGTTTACTACAGAGCCAGTGCATGTCAAATCCTAATGTTAAGCCAGATGTAAAGCAAAAGAACAACTGAAAATACTTTAATCCTCATTCTTCTCACAAAGCTACAACACAGTTTACACAAGACAATATTCTCGATATAAACACTTGCTGGCCAACTGTGTTGGTGTTGCTGAAATGGTTATCCGAAAACTGTTGATCAAAATGCTGGTGCTGCGACCAAGCTAGTCATTTTGTACTTTGTAATAACTTGACCACCTTCTTATTTACTTGTAAAAAAATCGTAAATGGTTATCAAAGAGTTGTTACATAATGTGGCTGCCACATTAAACATTATGCTTGACCAACACATATCTGTTATCCTTACTTACATTGAGAGGGGAGGAGTCATCTTGGAACATAATGATGAGGGAGTCAACTGGGTTGGACCATGTTTGAGGCATGGAGTGGAGGGCTAATGATGATAACTGAAATAATCAAATATCATACTGAAACAGAAAAGTATTATACTGAAATAGTCATATATCATACTGAAATAGACAAATATCATACTGAAATAATCATATATCTTACTGAAATAGGCAAATATCAAACTAAAAATAGGCAAATATACTGAAATATGCAAATATCATCCTGAAATAGGTAAATATCATTCTGAAATAGGCAAATATCATTCTGAAATAGGCAAATATCATTCTAAAATAGTCAAATATCATACTGAAATAGGCAAATATCATCCTGAAATAGGCAAATATCATCCTGAAATAGGCAAATATCATTCTAAAATAGTCAAATATCATACTGAAATAGGCAAATATCACACTGAAATCCTTATATATCATTCTGAAATAGGCAAATATCATACTGAAATTATCATATATCTTACTGAAATAGGCATAAATCTTACTAAAATAGACATCTACCACACCAAAACAGACAAAAATCACATTAAAATAGAAAAGCATCATATCAAAATAGACAAACATCATACTGAAAAAAACATGATAATTATATACATTACTGGAATTGGCATGATTTATGTCATATTGAAATAGACATTAATAATAATGAAATAATCAAACATTCTACTGAAAAATAGACATATATCATATCAAAATAATGATCTGCTAGTATCAAACATGAATATACATAAGTAAATCATAATTCACTGGGCATACATACAACAGACAATGTAACATGATATCACCTTCTTTTATCACCTTACTTTAGTTCAGTTTAACAGTCAAACCTTTATTTCAACTGAAATCTGGGCTTTTCCAGCTTTAAATTTTCAGTATTATAAAAATTTAATGCACCACTACTTACTGCAACACATAGTCTGGTAAGGATAAGTTTTGGTCCGGTCGCAGAGTTTACAATTTGCTCAAGGATGCGGCTTCGTAGAGATTCAAACTGGTCAGCTGGTATTTCATTCCTGAAAATGTAACATATGCCTTCTTAATGACTAATATTTTGTTGTGTTTTACATCACACCAACATAATAAAGGCCATTTTATCATTTAAGTGCAGTATCCGGTGAACTCTCAATAAATTACATCAAGAGTTCACCGGTTACTCGCTAAGGTGACGATTTGTAGGATGTCTAGCTTTACTGGTGTTGGAAAACCTCAGGTGCCCCTCTGTGCTTATTTCTGACAAGAGTGGGCAAACTTATAGAATAAAAGGCTTTCCATACTAGGTTGATACCATCCATGAAAGAATCCAAAGTCCTTTGCAAAATTTGAATCAATTACTAAAGCATTATTTAACACAATTTGAATCAATTATTAAAGCATTATTTAACACATGTTTGCATTTCCTAAAAAAGAAAAAATATTTGTCATTTCTGAGGCTTAAAGTTGCATGCCTCAAGATGAGCCAATAAATATCAAGGAAATCACTTTTGAGAAAAATGTACAAAGATTTTAAGAAAAGTAAAAATATTCACAATTCAAGTAATTATTTACATGTTATATGCAATGAATGACTGATTTTGCAGTAATTATCACCATATTTCTACTGGTTGACTAATGCAGGGTTAAGACTTATTTTAGAATATTTTTACTGTTATTCGGGAATTTTGATTGCAATGTGTAAATAACTTTTATGTTCACTTGACAATATTTCACTTCTTGATACAGTTTCAAAATTTTCATGAAAATTGGCATGAATCTGAGGTACGCTGCTTTAATGGGTCTTTAACTCAGGTAAGCAAGTTATCATTAACTCAGGTAAGCAAGTTATCATTAACTCAGGTAAGCAAGTTTTCATTAACTCAGCTAAGCAAGTTTTCATTAACTTAGCTAAGCAAGTTTTCATTAACTTAGCTAAGCAAGTTTTCATTAACTTACCTAAGCAAGTTTTCATTAACTTAGCTAAGCAAGTTTTCATTAACTCAGCTAAGCAAGTTTTCATTAACTCAGCTAAGCAAGTTTTCATTAACTTAGCTAAGCAAGTTTTCATTAACTTAGCTAAGCAAGTTTTCATTAACTCAGCTAAGCAAGTTTTCATTAACTCAGCTAAGCAAGTTTTCATTAACTCAGGTAAGCAAGTTTTCATTAACTTAGCTAAGTAAGTTTTCATTAACTCAGCTAAGTAAGTTATCATTGCGAGACTAAAATTCTCAATACTGTCAAAACATATGTGTACACTCAAACTAATTGTATAAATTGACAGTTTGGTGCAAAATATTTCTAACTTTTTCTTCATGTCAAACAAGTTACACTTCTACAGCTCTCAATCCCGCCAATATTATAAGAGTATATATGTCAGGTGTTCTTACCAGTATCTGCTTATCTTAACATGTAAACAGCTGGCACCAAAATACTGCACCTGTAGGCCCTGGAAATATTAAATATTATAAGATCTCCAGAAATTATACAATGGAAAAATATCAGATCTCCAGAAAATATAAAATATAAGAGCTTTAGAAAAGATAATACTACAGGAAATATAAAGTATAAGCTCTCCAAAAAATATATCCAATAAAATATCAGTCTCCAGAATATTTACAATGTTAAATACATGTATCAAATCATCAGAAAATATAAATATAAGATCTCCAGAAAACATACAATGTAAAATAACAAAACTCCAGAAAATATAATATATGGTGACACCAGAACTGCCATGGAGAATATAATGAAATATAACACCAGCATACTGTCTTTTCATTAAATCTCCTTGGCGTGAAATTTTGACACACTGAACAAACAGTAATTTTGCCATGCCTTAAATTCACATATTTTCAATAATAAAAATAAAAAATTTCAACATTCAAATTCAAAACTATGTTTTTAGATTCTTTATCAGTGAAACAAAAGAATGTTAGAAGTTTAAATCACAAAACTTAAAATAACAAATACAAACGAAGAAACATATATTATATATAAATCCTACAAACATGACAAATTACTGCTCACTTCCCTTATAGTCTGCTGATTTTTCACTATATTTCTGGTATCAGTGTTTGCCTTATAGATCAAATTATTGTGACAAAATAAATATTTGAGCCATGCCATGACAAAACCAACATAATGGGTTTGCGACCAGCATGCATCCAGACCAGCCTGCGCATCTGCACAGTCTGATCAGGATCCATGCTGTTCGCTTACCAACCCTATTACAAGTAGAGAAACTGATAGCGAACAGCATAGATCCTGATCAGACTGCGCGGATACGCAGGCTGGTCTGGATCCATGCTTGTCGCAAACGCAGTATGTTGGTTTTGTCGTGACGCGGCTCATTTCAATATAGTTATTTCATCACAAATTTACCTTATCTGGCACTAGTAGTTGCCAGCAGAATGACCATGCTGCAGGTGAGACTTGAGCTGCTGTCAACCACTGGTGAACTTCCTGCTGTACTGCAGCGTTACAATAAAAGTTGTTTACTGCCTACAAGTATGATAGATCAAAGATTAGAATTTATCATTGATAACAATGCAATGCACACATGTTTAACATCATAACCTTGAAATCTGTGAACATAATCTATTAAAGTTGCAATTCTCCCTGTAGTAATCAAATTGACAACAACAACTGTTATTTCAAGTTCTGTCATGTCAAAAAACTTCAGTGGAGTCCTTTTAATTTGTTTCAAATGAAATGCAAAAATGAATGTCAATTAAAAAAATCAACTGACAGAAGTTAATATCCACAAAAAAAATGCTGGTTATCAAACACAACAGAGGTGATTGAGTGGTATATAATATGTTTGTTTGAGCCCTTCTTTCCTCACATTCATGCCCATTTTTTTTATTTATCATCATTTCTGGTTTGTCAAGGAAACAGGCATAAGAGCAGTAACTGTTCAAAACTTTCATCACAATCAAGCTAAATTAAATGTCAAAATTAATCGGAAATATACCTTTTCCACATTTTCAGCTGTGAATTCTGTTCCCATACTAGCCATAGCCATTGTTTGACTATCAACAATTGTTATGCCTCAATCTTCTTTTAAGAACACATACTGTTAGAAACCAACCTGTCAAAGCAAATAATCACCACACTTATCTTCAAAGTAGAAGCAATTATATTGATAATTCCCCTCATGTTTAAGTTGTTCTTTGTCGTATTCAAATGTGTTGCGCTTTGAGTGTGTCTGTGAGAACCAGTCTGGCTAGAGTCAGAACAGGGAATTTGCTGGTTCCCATATTCAAAGCACACCTCATTTGAAGATGGTAAAGCTGTGGGCCACATTTGAATTTGGACTGTAAGGCATTTGTAGCTCCACACCCCATCTCCATATTCAGCATATAAATACAGTCAGTGTAGGCAATCTGAACCACATTATGAAAAGCATTATTTTTTGCAATATTTTGGAGTGCTTTAGTTTGTAACATTCATTTCTATGTCATAATCTAAAATTAAAAGGTGTTTTTTTTTCTTTTCTAAACATCACAGAATTGTCACACTGCTTACCAAAGTTTTCTTTACATCAAATACTGATGAAGAAAAAATAGAAATCAACATGCAAAAAAATCAAATTAATTATTTTAAAACATTAGACAAAGTTTAATCAGGGTCTACTGAAAAAGTCATTTGAAAATATTAAAGCCTTCATTTTAAAACAAAGGTTATCTAATTGTGACGATTGTTCTCTTCTGCCTAGATTCTTTAATGATATTTAGTGGTTTGATTACCTAAATTGTCGTTAAGTTAAATTGTAAACTAAAAAGTTATCTTTCTTGTGTTTAAAAGTAGAGTTTTATCTTTTATAAATTAGTAAAATTACTTATTCGAAGCAATTATTTGATATAACAGGCATATTTTTATTATTTCTAAAATATCAGAACAATTTGTCCTAAAAATCATTCGAACTCAATGCCTTTTGTACCAATATTCAACCCATTATCAATATCTCTATGATGCTTGATTTCTCCAACTTCAGTAAACGATCTTTAAATATAACTACATTATTGAGTATAAATAGAGCTCAAAGCTGCGGACAGTCAGTCTCTGCCCAGCTGCCAAAGTGTCAACATCACAGAAATAATTAATTAATATTTTAGATTACTTACTTGGAATCTTGCACTATTTACGAAGTATATCAATTGCACCAATTTAACACTGCGTTAGGTGTAATTGTTATTACTAAAGTATTGAAAACTCAATATCCAAGTGGTTTTCTATATATTAAATAGCCTAATAGTGTCACCTCAATTTTATATAAAGTTCATGTGAAGCATATCAACTATAAAGGCATGTTCCTGTTATAAACAATAGTTAATTAAACTTGATTCCAAAGTTTGAATAAATCATTTTATAATCATTTGTAACCAATCAACTGGCAAAGTAGCAAGAAAAATTATATATATAACAGCTGGCCCGTGCACGTTACATAATTTCTAAACAACTTGTCATTCCAGTAGTTCTGTATCAATCAAAACATATATTTCCTTACACACAAGTGCATGTATTGGCAACTTATTTACATTGTAAATTAATTTTTTAACTGAGCTATCCGATTACTAGTCTAGTTCTGCACCAATTAGTCTATATTTATCGCTTATGAGCGTTCATGCAAAATATGTTCCAGTTAGATACAAGTGTACGAAAATGCCTTCCATTAATTGTAAGGTATATAATAGGTTAATAACCAAAATAGACGCAAAATATACCTTTTGACAACAGCTGATTTGCTGAACGGGCACCGGCTGAAAATCGGTGTATAAGCAAATTATATCTCTTCCGTATTATCCATATTTAGAGCATGAACCACTAAATTAGGGATGTTAATACGAGACCACTAAATTTGAATATTGCCAGGTAGGTAAATACATACGTGTATAGGCCATAGGCCAGTATGTCTAAATATCGAGATAAAAAAAAAACAAATTTGATTGAATGTAACGATTTTTAATGTAGAAAAACGTCATTTTTCCGATGTTACTAAAATGATAACATCGGAAAAATGACGTTCTTAGAATAGAGACATCTACTTACGTTAAAAATCGTTACATTTAATTATATTTGAGTACTAAAAACCTCTCAAAAAGGGTCTTTATCCCGAAACCAAGTGCCTATGGTATAGGCAGGGCTCGTACCGCTCCACTCGGCTTTAGTCAGAACATCTGCAGCTTGTCCGCTTCGGTTATCATTTTTTACCGATGCCCTAGTGCCTCTCAGTAGCTTGTACGTAACGAGGGGAAGACAGAGAGAGCAGACGTTATCATGGTTATACAACAAGATACAAGATACAAGATACAAGAAACTTTATTTTAAGTCGGTTTACATATTACAAGAAACATTAGCTAATAAGCTATTTACCGACAATAACAAAAGCATAAAACATATTTGCTAACATATAACAGTTCTGAAAATAAAAACATATAAAACTATTAGCAGCTTAAGCATGAAATAAGAGTATCAAGGTTAAGAAGAACTTTACAATAAGATGGTAAATTAAGGCATAGCTTGATGACATGCACAGTACATATTGTATTAAAGGTAATAACAGTTTCTAAAAGTAATAAATGACTGTAGTCTAGAAATTTAAGTATGATACATATAGCAATGTGAATAAATAAAAATAATAATAAAAAATAAAAATTTAATAAAATAGTAATAGTTATAAGTTAACATCTACAATTTATAAATACGTAATTGAAGGTTTCCTAAAAATATATATATAAATAAATAAATAGATAAAATTAAACTTACTTATAAAAGTGCATAAAAATTTATGATAGAACTTATACAGCATAAAAAAGAAACAAGATAAAGCACATACAGTGTAACAAACAAAATTAACTAAAATTAAGTTGCATGCACAGCCTAATGGAATGGGGAATAAGGAGTTTTAATATGAACAAAGCATACAAACACAACAAAGATTCAACTAGCATAAAATACAAGGGTTTAATAAAAAATTAACACACAACATATAATCAAAGCATCATAGCAAACTAAAAGGGATGCACAAAAGCAAGGCAAACAAACAAAACATGTAGTCTAAGCATTTACTTAAATTAAAACTAAGCAGAGAAAACAAACACATAGCAAATTTACACAAACAAACAATCTTTGTCCTAGTCAGCTTGAAAGCCTTGGAATGTTGGGCTCAATTTACAGACTTAAGACTAACATCGTCCATCAATAATTCTTGATCCCTCGAGACTGTGTGTAGAGCTGTGTACGTATCTGTTGATAACAAAGAAACACGTCGTTGTTCTATATGGATGTATATTAAATTATTTATGGGACTTAAAAAAATTATCTACGTTTTCCTGTCTGTGAAATAACGTTAAGTTGAAAAATTACTAGGCATAAATAACTTTTTTTCTGTCTAAATCAAATGCATAAATTTAGGTGACAAAAAAAAACGACAATGACAATCAACTGTCAAAAACGAACGAGTGTATATATGAATATATATGAGTGTAAACTCGCCACCAGTTGCACATATGGATGAGTCCTCCAGATGATGTTTTGTCATTATAGATTTTTATGGAAAGTGCAAGATTCCAGAAGCTTTTACGTTCTTTAACGTGCCAGGTGTTTAAGCACTCATACACGGGACCTCAATTTAAACAAGTCTTACCAGAAAGACTGTTTCAGTAATTTAAGTTGGCCAGTCCGGTAATCAAACCCACAATTTCGAGATTGCAAGCCTCACGCCATAACCAAGCTATACGGACTGGCAAAAACGAGTAAATACACTCTACCGATGATTTAATTGAGTACCTACTTACCTGATGTCTTATCAAAGAACGCCGTTCTTATCTTTGAGGCAAAGAACACAAGACATCACCGCCATACTAGTTATGCTGTTCCATTTTCTCTGCCCGATATATTGCGTCAGTGCTTTACTGTCAGCACCTTTGACTAAAAGAGGGGCTCTTTCTTCGATCGTAGACAGAGGATGTATATATACTGCACAGTAAGCTTAAGCCGATTGAGGCTTTTCTCATTTTGAATAGTTAATCTTGTCTATTTGATTATATTATTATTACTGTGTGCTATATTTCAGATAACAAAAAGGGCACGTAAAATGCTTCTTAAGACTGTCATACTGCGACACATTCTCGGTAACCAAGACATACACGTACTCGTTACGTGTACTATTATCAGAGTTCTTCAATTGTGAAATACATGTACATTTGCATTATTGTCCGTCCGATAAATTATATAAAGCTTTAATGCTAAAACACCCATCACTTTCTGTGCAAGTCCTAGAGACGCTTTTCAATTTTGTAACCTTGACGACCTTAACCTCTCGGCCACAGAAGAGCCGTTGTTTCTTTATAAAGAAGACACTAGAAGGCAGCATCGAGCACATAAAACTGTTTTAACGAATGTTAATTTCATCATCATCATTTTCATCATCATCATCACCACCATCGTACGTCATCATCATACTTATATCTATAATTACTATTATCATTATTTTTATTATTATTATTATTATTATTTAATATTATTATTATTATTATTATTAAACTATGCAATGAAAGCACATTTTATTTAATATTTTAA